AGGAATAAAGCAGAACTCTCTTTTGTGCTGGAACCAGATGGGGTCCTACAAACCTTTCTGGAAAGAAGTTTTTGGGTTTTTTTAATCTAAATTTTAAACATTAAGATGTTTAACTGGAGTTTTAATTTTGTTTGTGAAAAAGTTCTATCAAAGCTGCCCTAACACCAATTTATGATCCTAATGCGGAAAGCTTGTCTTCTCTAGGTATCATTGCTAAGAAAAATCCCAATTTCTTGTTTTATTAACTATATAATTTGAATTACTTAACTGTGTTTTGGAAAGAGATTTGATCAAGATGCAATTTTTGTTGCTTAGAAGCATGCAGAAAGTCTTTAAAAATATATACTTTTTTTACTTTGAAAATTCAGTTTGTTACCTTTTTTTCACTCAATTTTCATTAAAAGATTCTAGGAATGATAGGAAAGTTAGTTTCAGAGAGATTGGCAACTAATATCTGATCAACTAATGAGGAAAAAATTCTTTTTTTGAGAACTTTCAGGTAATGAAAACACGCTTGCAGAACCTGAGACCTCCAGCAAAACTAGAGAAGATCAAACTTGTTGGTTTTAAGTTAAGATTGACTGGCTGTTTCTACGCATGTGCTTTACTGTGGAGTAGACTAATTAGCTGTGGAGTAAAGCATCCCATCTACACATATGACACAGTAAACTAATTTACACCGTAGCAAGATAGTAGCATCGGGGACAGTACTGTCTTATGCTAGGGTAATTTACTGCGACTAAATGCATGTGTAGATGCTGACCGTGGGTGTAAATTGTACCTGGTCAGCCCAGCCACCAAGTGGCCAAACCCCTGCCTGCTGCCTAGCCACACAGCTCTGCACTTTCAATGCCCTCATGCCCCAGCCAGCCCCTCTGCTGCTAGACTCTGAAGCCTGGGGATCACCCCCCTCATCCCCAGTATCCCCTGCCTGGGCCAGCTCAAATGGTGCTGTCCCGGGCACATGTGTAGATGCTGCACCTGGGAGTAATTTACTCTGGCTCAAAACAAAGCTCCAGAGTTTATTACTTTGTGTTAATTTCATGTGTAGATGTACTCACTGGTACTTAGTCCTTTCAAGAAGGAAAACATTCCAGTCAGGCTACCTTTATACATAAAAGAGGAAAAAAAGACAAAGTTTTATTTTTTTATTTATAACTTGTGACAACATATTGCTTTTGATCCATATTTATTTCCAGTTGACATAAAAGTAGGAGTAAGACATGATGCTGGCCCTAGAACTATAAGTTTTTGTTCTGGTTTCTATTGTGCTAGGTATACTGAATGGGTAATACCCCTGTACACTTTTATGGAGTGATAAGAAAATCCCCGGGACACTAATGATGATGCATGGGGTGTGTAGGTGATCCAAGTATTGAAATATATGCCTATATATAAATTCCTAGTCTTCACTTTTAAAAAAAATGTTGTATTGTCTTGTTAATTGAAGAACTTAGTTACATATGCTTTAATTAGTAGGAGATATGCATACAAAAATACCTCCAAGTCATGTTCATGAAAATGTGTATTTCTTAAGCTTTGTAAAGGTTTATTACTGTTAACACTTTTTTTTTTTTTGTAGTTCTCCAGGAGCCTTCAAGATGAATTCTACAGAAATTATTCCACTCACGGTTACCCCATTAGGTGTTATTCCAGACTTCAAAAATGCCACCCTTGTGCCTTTCAGTGAAACTGCATGTGAAAACTGGAAAGAGATTCATCATCTGGTTTTTCATGTGGCAAATACTTGTTTTGCAGCTGGATTAGTTATTCCAACTACTTTAAATTTTCATATGATTTTCCTGCGTAGTTTGCTAACTATAGGTATGTCAAACTTTTTTACAACCTTGCCACGATTTAAAGAGTATTATATACTTAATATAGGGTATTCCCTGGAGTCATGCTTTCATCCTGGGATTCTAGTATATTTTAATTGTCATCATATTTTGCTGAAGGATAATCTGTTACAGCTTGGGCCTGTTAGCTGTTCTGACCTTGAATTCCTTGGCTGGAAAAGGTCCAGTCACTTAGAACTGTCAGCATGTGTTCTGATTCTAGCTTCAAAAGTTCAGTACTTTTAAAATTGCTAAACTGTTTTATGGGTCATTTTCTTAAGCTTCAGTAAGATCTGAAATGCACAGTAAGTCTGTGGTGTGCAGGTTCAGCTGTTGAGTTGTATGATAAGAGATTTTTTTGGCTTAGAAAAGAAGTGAACTGGGCGGGGAAGAAAGGAGCAAATTGTTTGTGTTGAGTGTCTTTCCCCATTGCAGATTTCCTCAGAAAAGAAATCTAATTTATGCTCATGACCAAACGTGAGAAACAATTCAGCCCCTGAAGAAAGTTCTAAACTATTAAAAAAGAGAGAGAGAGAAAAGAAAAATGCAGTTCTCTCTTTTGTTATTACAGTGAGATATAAAGCTTGTAGAAGGTGCAGCATAAATCTCTCATGCTCATAAATCACTTCACTGGAGAGAGACAGGGAGTGGGGAAAAACAGAAATCCTGAATGGAAAGAATCATTAGCATTTTTTTTCCAGTAAAAAGTGTTAATGGAATTTAATGTTTCCACATTGCCAGGGCCTTTAATTCTTGGTCATGTAAGTAATAATACAATTTAGCACCATGCTGGTACATGGGCTTAAGGCTAATGGTGAGAAAATACTATCTATACCTGTAAATTAAATCCAGCTTCATGTAGTAACTTGGCTTAATTGTTCTTAAAACATGAGGTCTGAGATATTGTGCCATAGCAGTGAAGCTTTTGAATATGGATTATATTCATAATTATTCACCTTTAGTCTCATAGATGTCTAGCCTGCATTTCAAGCGCAACATGGATATAACACCCCACCATACCTCCACCTAGTGGTCTTACCTCCACCTAGTGCTCCCTGCCATCTCTTCTGATTACTGTGGATACCACCATACTATTTGTCTGTAGGCCTGCAGTCTCAGCATCACATCTCTGACTTCTCAAGTCCTTCTGTCTACATCCAAGTCTTATGGATCCTTTCTGGAAGACAGCTGTAAAAATAAAGCTTTTCCTATTTATTTATATAGCTAAAACTCTGGTCCAGGCTCTCATCTTGCATCTTAGTTCCGTTTTTTCAAGGCCAGAGGGAAAAACAAGTACAGTCTAGCTTTGTAAGCATGTGGAATACTGCTGCACACATAATTTTTCCCTTCTTTGTCACTTCGATCAAGTCATCTCTATCTCTGACATAAGCTACTTGTCTTCACTTTCAAAACTCTGCCTTGCCCTCTCTGTTCACTATGTAGGTATCAGATCCTGCTGACCATCAGATTCCAGGATGTCTGGCTCCAATCTTATTCTTCTTTGGCAGTTCTTCACAGTCAAAGATGATTGCCTACCATGATTGTTTTACCTGTTGGTCCAAAGATAGGTGACGAGGCCGATCTGGGATTGACAGACTTCGTTGCAACTTTGGCACGTGTTTCCATGTGGAGTGGGTGGCTCCAGATTCTTGATTCAGTCTGTGATATGCTGTTTCTGCCACTCCCACTCTTTCTGTCTCCTGTTGTCATCATAAGGTTTCAAAGTACTGAGATTCTTGCAATAGACTCTTCCTCCATTTGGGGCCACTGGTTCCATTGCCCACTTGTTGAATCTTCAAGCGAGCACCTTCCTTCTTTCTCATACTCAGCCTTTTGCACTTGGGGGGAACATCCCATAAACATGCATGCAAGAGTTATCCTCTTTCAAGGCTTTCCTTTTCTGAGACTGACAAATGACATTTAACAGTTACGCTACTGCTAAACAGAGATATGTTTCTTACAGACAAGAATTGTCTCGCTATTTCCTGGTATTCCCTCATCTGTGGTTGTTTTCTTTTCTTTTTTTTTCTGTTTTATACTGGAATCATAAGCCCCTTAGGGGCAGAGATTGCCTTTTGATTATGTGATCATGTAGTATCTAATAGAGAAAAGTTCTGGGTTTTTAGTACCAAAATTAATAGAAATATTGCTGCAAGTCTAAGTCTGTTGTAATGCAAGGATTGACTAGCATTCTTTTTCTGATCATACTCAAAAAAGCAAGGTGGTCAAATTTTGTTACACATTTTTCATAATCACTATAGACCAGTGGCACTCAATCTTTTGGTCCTGCAGACAGGATGGGTGGTGTGGCACTAATTCGTATGCTGGATCAGCCCCTGTGTGCTGGGATAGGCCCGTGTTGCCTCCCCCCAGCCCTGTGCACCGGGATCAGGCCCTACACTGCCTTCACTTGGCCCCATTCCCCAGATTGGGCTCTGCATGGCCTCAGTTAACCCTAGGTTTGTGGATTAAGCCCTGTGCCAGTCTTGGGCACCTGGATCAGGCCCTGCATTACCTTCACTGAGCCCTGTATGCCCAGATAGGGCCCATGCCACCCCTTCCCTAGACTGGGCCCAACACCACCCCTGCCTCTCTGTGTGTACCTGGATTGTGCCTGGATTGTGCGGGGCTAAAAGTTCTGGGGGCACAGGTGGTGTTCTCTTCGATCCTCCCAGTCTCAGGGTATGGGCTGAGGAGGGAGAGGAGGATCCAGGTAGTTAACCAAAGACTGCGGCACTGGTGTCATCGGGAAGGCTTTGGCTTCCATGACCACAGCCCGCTCTTTGGCAAGAGAGGCAGCGAGCTGCTGGGAAGAGATGGCCTTCACCTCTCTCCCCTGAGGAGGAGGCTCTTCTCAGCCAGACTGGCTGACCTGCTCCACCAGGCTTTAAGCCCACTGGGGAACAGGGGGACTACCGCCACTGCTGGCCCGCTGAGCAACCCTTGCAAAGCCAGCACGCCAAGGCATTTAAGGGAGCCCACCCCTGCCCCAGCCCTGGTACAATCTGTGGGCAAGGCAAGAACCCCCAAGGGGACGCTTGCCTGCCTGTACACAAATGCCAGGAGCTTGGGGAATAGGCAGGAGGAACTTGTCCTCCTGCTTAATGCAAATAATTATGACGTCATAGGGATAACAGAGACTTGGTGGGACTCCACCCATGACTGGACCACAGGTATAGATGGCTATACCCTGTACTGGAGAGATCGAGTAGATAAATGGGGTGGGGGTGTAGCTGTCTATGTTAAGGAAAGCTACGCATCCCTGCAAGCTGATGATAGCGACCAGGGTGGATGACTGGAGACCCTCTGGGTTAAAATCCATGGGGAACACGGCACAGGGGACACAACAGTGGGAGTCTACTACAGACCTCCCACCCCAAGTCAAGAGCTTGACCAGGAGTTTGTCCGGGAACTGGCTGAGGCTGCAGGCTCCAGAACCATGGTTGTCATGGATTACTTCAATTACCCGGACATCTCGTGGGAAGATCACTCAGCAAAATCCGAGCGGTTGCAAAGCTTCCTCTCATGC